CCGAGCGCCGCGCCAGGGAGGCCGCCGTCGCCAGGAAGCGGGCCAAGGAGGCGCTGGAGCACCTCGCGGAGGTCCTCGCCTGCGAGCAGGCGGAGCGGGACGAGCTGAAGGAGCAGAACGGCGTCGCCTCTGCCGGCCGCCGCCGCGCCGCGTGATAGTGTACTTCGTCCTATCTATTGCCATTGAACCTTGCAATAAGATTTGGTTGTTGTTGTTGTTGTTGATGATGATGATGTTGTTATTATGATGATGCTGTGGATTTTCTGTTCTGCTTGTGGTTGGCTGGCCGAGAACTGACTGCTGCAGGTTTTGGGTTAGGGCTAGTTTGTCGGGTTGGTTGGTTGCATCGTTGGAATGTTGAAATGTCGGGCACTGGTACTTGTGTTTTTATCCCATTCAAATGCATGACATGTTATGATGCACCTATTTATTTATCATTTAAAAAATGAATTATTATGCGGTGAACGTGAATATGAGCTCTGTGTTGTACGGGATGGACGTGTCTAGATTTGTATGTATCATGATTGATCTATATATGTTTGCCAACCTACTTCACCAATAATTTGTGTGTCCGGATACCTCCAACCCATTGACTTCTTGGAGTTGCAGGTAAAATTTTCAGCACTTATTCTTTGCTGTGAATTCTCATTGTATTGGAGAGGATATCATCATTTCTGTACTTTCAGAGTTTCTGTGCTCTTTCCTTTTCTTATTTTTTGGTCATTGGGGGTTTTGGTGTTAGTGCATAAATAATATAGGAGTTAAAGAATTACTTTTGGTCTCATGTATGATAGCATCATTGATCAATGACCTTATGTAACGATATACTCAACAAACTAATAAGATTGATAGTTAATGAATGTTTTAGCGCAAGTATGCCCGAGATATTAGGGATTCTACTTTGGGAATCAAGGCAGCTGATAAAAAAAATATATTGTTCTTGCAGAACCTACAGGCTGTAGGTTTATTAAACTTTTATTTTGGGATATGTACTACTATATTGCTTTCATAATATTTTTTTAGCTTTTGGGTTTTTATTCTGAAATCTGAAAGGTTATTACGGTATGCAAAGTTAACCTTTAAGGCAGGATAGCATCTAAATTGGGAGCTACTCTTAGCCTTGGAATTTGTTTGAATACAAGTTAAAGGTGTTTTTGATAGCTTCTCTACAAGATAAAAATTCTTTATTTTCAGTAGAGAAGCTCTCGAAAACACTTCTAAACTTGTATTTAAATTAATCAATGACTTTTCTAGTGTGTTTCATGGATATGGGTAGTGGTACAAGTGCAGGTATGCAACAAATTTTCTAAAGGTATGGGTACAAGAGGATATTATCATAAGAATTAAGAAATTTGGAAACATAAAGTATTAAAGTCATGATATAAATTCTATTTTTTTTCATAATGTTGTTACTCAAATAGCAACAACATTTAAAGAAAATAAAAGTTTGAAGGGATTGAAATGGTAATTTGTCTCATTTAGTAATGAACCAAGCGGCTAAGCAACAAAACTTGGTGCTATTCATAGACTAACTTGTACTAGAGCCTAGAGGTGTAAGTGAGTGTTTATGTACCCAATGTAAGTAACTGGTGTGTGTACAAAAACTTTTAGGAGTATCCATGGATAATAGCTTTTCTGTATGAAGTTCAATATATGTTTTGCCTCCTACTTCCAGTGTCCCATGTAGAATCACTTTAAAGAAACAGAACAGGGTTTTTGACATGATAAGATCAACCCAAATCGGTGGAGTGGTCGAGTTGAGTGAGGGTATATATGCTTAATATATGTCCTAGCTTCATTCAAAACATGAGTGGATGAGCTGGGTATTTTGCCTGTTGAAAGGCTATGTGGACTCCCCACCAATTGGAATTGTTTACTGCCATAATGTTGATATCATTTTTAAAAGGACAGGTTCAACTTTTCATTTCATCTTTTTTTATCTTCAAATTGTTGCATTTCAGCGAGTTTCTCTTTTGATATGGGTGCTTGTTTATCCACGTGCTTTCTTGTGGCTGTGGTAGACACTAGACAGTACTACCTCCTGTAGGGTGTGTAAAGAGAGTTGAATAAAAACGGCTGCTAGTTGGTTATTCCATTAGTTAGTTGGAGTGTTGGACTAGTTAGATAGTTAGTTTGATTATAAATAGGGACATTAGTTTTGTGGAAGACATTTTGTGAATTTGATACTTTGTGCAAGTGAAAGAATAGATCTTTTGTGAAGAGAAAAACCTTTGGGGAGAATTCTATTCTCCATCTCTGTTCTGTTCCTTTGATTCTTTCTGTCTAGTTTCCATCATATTTTTTCTCCTAGTTTCTATCAATTGGTACGATCTACCGGATCCATATTCAGGGAGAAAGAAGATGGAGCAGGAAATTGAAACATTAGAAATGGTGACCTGACCACTGTGTATAGAGTCCAACTTTGATCTTTGGAATCTCATGTATCAGAAATGAAGACAGCAGTGAAGGACTTGCTCCAAATTTAAAGTGGTTAGGGAGTTGGGTGGGAAAACAGGGTATTTTTTGCCAACTGCCATAGGCAATTTGTTTAGGGAGGCACATAATGGTGTTTATATGGTGATAATTGGGCCTTCTGCCATCCGCCCTTGACAACATTGGAGTGGAGGTGGTAACGGTGGCAGTAACGACGACGGCAACAACAATGGGTGAAGGGGGCGGGTTGTGGTGTGGCAACAGAAGTAGTGATGTAGTAGTTAACGGCGATGGTAGTTAACTTGTGGTGGCCATGACAATGGTAGTATGTGGATTTTTAGGATAGAGGGGAAGAATTTAATGATTTAATTTTACTACCAAAACTACTTTTATTGGTCTCTTGAGATAGAAGTATTTGAAAATGGTGTTAGAAAACAATTCAGTTTCATTTTATCCAAACACACTTTGTTTTGAAGTTTGCATTTGAAAATAAAAAAAATTGAAAACTTTTAACCACCCTTTAGTTGGCAACTACGTAGTTAATCACATCACTTTAGTGGCAATTTGTGAGGTGTGGATTTGGAATAGGCTTGAAATAAATTGTTGGTGTAGTGTGGGTTTGCTATCTCGACAAGTACGGCCGTGATTTCACATTTGAGGTGAAAAATCAAAGAAGACCATTTTTTTTTACTATTTTGTTTTTGTTTTTTGGGTTTTTAATTTTTAAACCTTTTCATTTTGGCCCCCTATTAATTCTTATGTCTTATCCGTATTCCCATTTTAAACCTTTTACCAAATTACCCCTATTAATTCTTTTGTCTTTCCATTTTAAGTTCCCCCTTTTATGCGTTCCTCCTTCCCTCTCAATTTTAACCTTGTCTCTCCCATATTACTTTATAATAGTTAAGAATATTATAATAATATAGAAAATGATATTAGTACATATTATTATATAATAGAGACAAAGATATAATGATCTATTAATAGTGACCATCTTGCGTTCCGCTACACCACTTTAGAAGAGATTTGAGGTAGGCTACTACGCACCACTATTTGGGATTGACTACTTAGGTTGGCAATAATTTTTAGTTCATTAAAACAATTGTGATGTGCTGCTACCTTTGACTAATGCCCTGATGTGTAAGTTTGCTTTCAGTGCATCATATGGTTTCTTTTGAGTCTCAATTTCCTTAGCAAAGTTGATTTGCAAGTTAGAGAACTAGTCATAAATGTTTAAGGACAGTTTGCTAATTTATTGAATTGATTACTTGTGTTTTCTATAATTGACAATGACTTCTGTTTTTACTCATTTCAATAATTGTGGGGCCATAGGTGTTCACTAAGACAAAGAAAGAACAAAGTCTTTACCTTTCATGGGGAAATTTTGATGAGTTATTTGGATTTGGCTAATATTGGATTGTATTTCTACCCATCCATAGTTTCTCCTTCATAAATACATGATTTTTGCTCCTTGTGCTAGATTTTTTGCTTCTCTTTCCC